TATATATATATATATATATATATATATTTACCATGAACTGCATAGGTTCCAAATTATGCCTAATTATTGAAACTGACTTATGCTTATAGTTTGTTGTTAGTTAGTTTGTTTTGTTTCATTTTGTTTTGTTTTGGGGGTTTTTGTTGTTTCTTTGTTTGTAAATATTAAGTTTGATAGTATCGTGCTCTCAGCAGCCAATTTTATTTATTGCATAAACTGTTTATCCTCATTGCAATTGAAGCTTTATTTATTTGTTTGTTTGTTTGGCTTTTTCACCTTTAAATGACAGTGCAGTTGAAAAACAACAGGTCAGATATCTGTATTTAATATAATCTGTTTTATTTTGTTTTGTATTTGTTTTTTTTGTTTGTTTTTTGATCAGAACCTTTCACATCAAAATATATGGGAATCAAAAATATAATGGGAACCATTATAAACTTTTATTTTGCTGTCCTACCCATATCTATGATTATAGCATTTTATTATTTGCATTTAGCATTGTTTTTTCCTATTATTCTTGGCCCACCAGTTAAGAACTATTGTTACATTAAACATTAGCTGTTTCCTTGCAGAGTAGCTAACGCTGTTTATCCTCCTTTGGGAAACATGACGTGTGTTGTCTCTGTTCTAGCCTTCCAGCAGCAGTGAAAGAGCAGCCAGTCTGTTTTCTCCCTAGAGAACAGAAAGCAACTTGAATGCCAAAGCGTATGAGAGAAAATCGTGATGATTTTGTTCCAGGCAGTATTTTCTTTCAGGTTAAGCTTCAGGCTAGATCCCTCTGACTCTGGTTAAACGGGGCAGCCCTCAAAATTAAGCTCTGAATCTTTTGCGTTGGTGATCTTGAGGAATGCAAAAATGTGGAAGTGGAGTTTACAAAACAAGAAATGCCATATATTTAAATGAGAAAGTTATTATTGTTTTTATTATGCCTAAACAGGATCTAAAATGTGTTTTATTTGCCACACCTGCCGGTGGTGGGTGAATTAAGAAAATTTACTGACTACAAAAAGTTCTTGCATTTTAATTTAAAATATATATGTTTTTTAATATTCAGATTTTATTTTTTATTTTATTTTGATGCACTTCACTGTTTTGTTTAATTAGATGCTCCCTTGAATGAAAGTGAAAGCTTATTTTATTTCATTTCATTTCATTTTTAAGTGAAAGCTTATTTTATTTTATTTTTGACCAATAGCATTCACAGCACCATAACAACCAGTGTTTTGGTGAAGTGCTAGTGTCGATGAAGAAAAATCATACTTTTGTTGCTCATAATTTCATTTTGTTGGTGTAATGTGAGGAATATTTAATGTACAGGTGCATCTCAATAAATTAGAATGTCGTGGAAAAGTTCATTTATTTCAGTAATTCAACTCAAATTGTGAAACCGACATAAAAACTTAAAATTAGATGAATATTTTAATGATAAAAAAATTCCACTAAGGTAAAATTTTGTGTTTTGTACCTTTTTGTTTTATTAAACCAGTAAATTCATTTTTTATTCACATTTGCCCTTAACTGGTACGTGTTTATTTTGGACACTCAACATGGATTTGCACCACCGAATCGACTGCAAGTAATTTGTTTTTAAATAAATTTCTTGTTTTGAAGGAACTTGATTGGATGCTGGTGTTCTGATGATCCTACGAAGCTCCTTAACCAATTTAACCAGTCACTTCACTAAAGAACCCCAATGTTGGTTCACCACCACCATCTAGGCTAGTATTTATAGCAAAGAAAATAAAATTATGATTACATTTTCATTCTGATCAAGAAAATGAGGAAGTGTTGTGATTGACAGTAGACGTTAACATTTTGGACACGCAGACCCATGGCGACTGCAGTGGTCGTGGTGCCTTAAATACTTTCTTGCGGTACATTCTGTTCCTCTGCCCCGCGTTCTGCATGCTAAACAGAGCCCCATACGGGCCAATTTGCAGCAGCCAATTTACCAACGTCGCTTTGAATTTGCTGGAAGTAAAAAAAGGCAGAGAAGTGCTTGGAGCTTCATGAAATGGGAAGTCTGGGACGGCTAAAACCTTCACCCACATACACATACGCAAATGTACGAAGCCACACGCGCTTAGAAAAGTACAGATTATCTGTTCGTCATGCGTCCAGATGCGGTAGAGAGTCCCAGGGGGTTAGAAAGAGGCATTTCTGACAGGGATGTGACAGGGCTTAATTAGCCGCTAAATTTAGGAAACGTTTTCTCTAGATTGTTGTCATTTGAATACATTAAGACGCATTTTTGCTAATGCTAAACTGCTTATGTTCACAGCCACGGATTAGAGTGACACGCGAATAAAAAGCTTGAATGTGTCACTTCAGAAGAGCTAAAGTAGGCTAGCATGTAGCTATGTGTGAGATTATCGCTGAATGGGCTTTTTTAAACATCCTGACTAACTAAATGCTAAGAAATTCATGCTAATCTTTCAACTTTTTCCTCACATTGTGATGCTAATTATGTCAGTTGCGTGGAAGGAATGCTAAATGCTAACCAGTAGCATTTCCGCTAAAGTCTCAGGCTCTTTCTGTACCTCAGGCTCTGTTTCTCTCTTACGGCAGATACTGAGGGTTGCGAGCACAACTGGAGGAAGTTTCACGGCCACTGCTACAGGTATTTCACTCGCAGACACACGTGGGAAGACGCGGAGAAGGACTGCAGAGAGCACAGCGGTCACCTGGCCAGCATGCATTCCACACAAGAGCAGGACTTCATTAATGGTCAGTATCAGGGTTCATCCCAGACAGAGTCACAAATACACTTCTGTAACTAAAAAAAATTAACTGTTAGCAGATGCGCTGACATTCAAACGTTTGGGGTTAGTAAGATTTATTGTTTCTGCTCACTAAAGCTGCATTTATTTGATTGAAAATACAGTAAAACAGTGATATTGGGAAATATTATTACAATTTAAAATAACTGCTTTCTATTTTAATAGATTTTAAAATGTAATTTATTGCTGTGATCAAAGCTGAATTTTCAGCATATTTACTCCAGTCTTCAGTGTCACATGATCCTTCAGAAATCACTCTAATATGCTGATTTGCTGCTCAAGAAACATTTCTTATTATTATTCATTTTGAAAATAGTTGTGCTGCTTATCATTTTTGTGGAAACCGTGATTTTGTTCTCTCTCTCAGAATTCTTTAGTAAGAGAAAAGTTAAAAAGAACAGGGTTTCTTTTAAATAGAAGTTATTTGTAACATTATACTGTAAATGTCTTTAATGTCACTCTTGGTAAATTTAATGCATCCTTGCTAAATAAAAGTATTATTTCTTTAACAAAAATAATAATAATTCTGACCCCAAACTTTTAAATAATACGAAGTATGCAATTACTTTTGACATTTAAAAATTTGTATTATTTATTATTTGATACTCATGTTTTCATTTTTGTGGTGTAATGTGATGAAAATTCTGTGTATAATTTGATAAATGATTTTATATGATAAAATTTCCACGTAAAATATGTTTGTATGTACCTTTTTTTGTTTTATTTAGCCACCAAATCCAGTTTTTATTCACATTTACCATCAATAAGTGTAAATTTTAGACATGTTAACATTGATTTGCTGCACCAAATCAACTGCAAGTCATTTGTTTTCACTTAACATTTGCAAAAAATGTCCCTCTGCTTAAAATCATTTGCAACCGACTAACATGTAGCAAATCACGGTTCATGGCTGTAACATAACTAAAGCTTAATATTACATTTTTTTTTTTCATTATTGCGACATGTGGCCAATTCAAATTCACTCTCATTAAACAGAAACCAATTCTTAAATTCTGTATTTTGCTGAACCCTGTTCTTCATGGGATATAAAACAGCAAATGGCCGGTATCTGTGGCTAATCTTTGTCTGTTTTACCCAATTAGCTTTGACTAAAACTATTTGCATAGCCTAGATTCATTAATATCCAGCCAGATAACTAAGAAAAGCGACAGGATGCTGACCTCCTGTACACCACAGATTGCATTATGTCTCCCTCCTCTAGTCGAGCCTAAATCCAGCGCTAAATGACGCTCGGTGAGGCCTCTCACAGCATGCTGTCTGCACACGGGGCCATGGCGCTCACCAAAAAGTGTGTTTAATCGCCTTGAAAATGGACATCTCCACCCCTGCAATAAAGGGGGCACAGCCATTAGGAAGATTAATGGGCCCTGTAATGATGTTAATCAGTAAGACCATGATTGAAATTCCATTACAGCCAGACCAAAAAAAAAAAACCTTGCAAATGCATCTTGGGGACGATCTGATGGCTTCTGGCTTGAGCTTGAATTGTGATTGTGATAACACCATCATTCGGCTCCCAGTGGCCCTGTAGGAGACATAAAGCAGACTACGACTTAAAGTGAAAGCATTAGCTCTGCATTTTATGACACTAAGACTCTATTTACTCATGGTATTAACCGTCTTCAGTGGTTGTCTTGGTTGCTGGTTACACCTGGTATCAATATGAGATATATGATATATGGTGAAATAAGTGTGATTAAAATATGTGCTGGAAGTAAAAACCTCTAAATGAATGCAAATCATGTATGTTTTTAATGAAAAAAAAAAGTATTTGAAATGTCTTGTGCTTTTTAAACAGGACTTTGCCATGAAAACACATGGATTGGTCTGAATGACAGGATGGTGGAAGACGACTTTCAGTGGACTGATAACATGGATCTGGTGAGACTGGCACAATCAGTATAGCATTTATACAAAGTATACAAATTTGTATAATATTTTATATTTTAATTGTATGTTTACCTGAAATATCTAAATATTTAAACAAAATATTTAATTTAAATACTTTTAAGTAAATAGAACATTTGATATAAATATTTAAATTGACATTTATTTTTATATTTTACTAGATTTTTTTGTTAAATTAAAAAAAAATGTATTCATGTATTTTAATAGATGTTTCTTTTTATTTCTATATTTAAACAAAATATTTAATTGAAATATTTATATCCATTAACAAATAAAATATTATATTTAAAATAAGAATATAAATGAACATTTATTTAATATTTAATTAATTTATCATTTAGTTTTTACCCATCAACAAATTAAAAATACTATATCATTTATTTGTATGTTTAAAATAGACAAAAATTCAAATAGGATTTTAATATAAATATTTGAATGGACAGAAATAAAATGTAACATTTAATTTTATTAGATTTTCTAAATAAAATTTTATATCAGCTTTATTTATTCATGTATTTTTAATGTTTTATTGGATTATTTCTATATTTAAACTAAATATTTAATTGAAATATTTATATCCATTAACAAATAAAATATTATATTTAATATTTTAATATTTAATTAGATTTTAAATTTAGTTTTTATCTTAATATACTGTATAATTTGTATGTTTAAAATAGACAATAAATAAAATGTAATTTAATATAAATATTTAAATTGACTTGTATTTTAATATTTTATTGGCTTTTTAATGTAATTTTTATTTTTATATACATTTGATGTATTTATGTATTATAAATAGACTTTTTATTGAACTATCTATATATTTATACTAGATATTTAATTGCAATATATCCATCAACAGATAAAATATTTAACATTTATTTGATTATTTTATAGGATTTCATTTTTATCCATCAACAACTGAAACAGTTATTGAATTAATTCATACATTTAAAATACACAACCAGTAAAATATTACCCTTAATGCAATTTTTTTATTAAATATTTATTTTTAGATAAATTTGAATTATTAAACCATTTTAAATGGACATTTCATTGAAATCTTTACATTTAAACTAAATATTTAATTGAAATACTTATATCCATCAACATACAAAATATTACATTTAATATATTTTTTAATCATTTGAATAAATTATTTATAATAAAATGTACATTTTAGTACAAGTATCAAAACATACAGTACAACGAATCACTTAAACTAATCACTGTATGATAATGAAGGCAGTGTGATCAGATAGATCATGCAAATGAAGCATAAGTCTCAAGTTTTCAAACCATTTAGGCACCAAACAAGTTTATATAATATATTATATCAGACCCATTAGGCGTATCTGAAAACCCATTTGTAATGCAATGGATATATAAGACGGTACACGAAATACCTAGTAAAGCCATGGGATTGGATTTAGCCCTGAAATATCCCCGTTCCTCCTCCAGCAATATGAGAACTGGAGGGAGAACCAGCCGGATAATTTCTTTGCGGGCGGAGAGGACTGCGTGGTGATGATCGCCCATGAGAACGGCAAATGGAACGATGTGCCCTGCAACTACAACCTGCCCTACATCTGCAAGAAAGGCACAGGTGAGCGGAAGAGGGGAGGAATTGGGAAAAGAGGACAAATACTGTACCGCCTGGCTTTCTACCACACTGTACTGTTTCCTCCGGTGCTGACCTTCTTTTGTTAACTTTATTCACACGTCTTCATGAGATGTTCCTCATATGCATTTATATCTCTTCCTTTGATTGAAATCAGTGCTGCTTCTTCTGTCATCACTTACTTTAATGTTATTCACATCTCATTTGACTTTATTTCTTCTGTGGAACACAAGATTTATTTTGAATAATGTACAGGTCACACTTTTCCATGAATCAGTGAGTTGAACTCTAGAACCTGATGAGTCTGATTCATGAACAATCATTTAGACTGGTTGTGTGAATAATTCAACTATTCACTGTAAAGATTTAAGTCAAAAAATTGATTTGTTCTCACACAAAGCTATTATCATATGACTTCAGAAGACTTGAAATATAGTTCCTGAGTAATATCAACCACTTTTATGATACTTTTATGCTTTTGTCGTTTTTTTATGCTTTTGTGTACTTTTTTAAAGGGGTCGTTTTCCCAAAAAATGAAAATCTTGTTATCATTTACTAATCAAACTACTATCAAACTAATTAAATATTAAAATATTAAATTAAATATTTATATTAAAAGGGATTTTTTAATTTTGAATTCAATTCCATTCAAGTTTATTTGTATAGCGCCTTTCACGATACAAATCGTTGCAAAGCAGCTTTACAGAAAATTGTAAGTTTCTACATTATATTTAGTAGTAGGTTATTAGTGGTGACTATGGCAGAAATGTACAGTAAGAATCATGCAGTTAGTTACAAATTACACATAATCAAACAGACAGTGAACACTATTAACCGCAATGATTAGGGGAGAGTGGGGACGGTTTCAACACTTTTTGCATTTCCTTTTAATATTTATCTATCCACAAATGAAAGAATTTTATATATATATATACTGTGTATTTTATTGTTTAAAAGAGGTGTCCTTTAAAGGAACCCAAAGTGTCTCATGTCGTTCCAAACCTTTATGACTTTCTTTGTTCTGATATTTTGAAGAATATTGGTAACAAAACCATTTTGGTTCCCACTGGCTTCCATTATATAGACCAAAAAAATACAATGTCAATGGGAACTGAAACTTACCAACATTCTTCAATATATCACAAAATAAAAGAAAGTCATACATGTTTGGTATGACATGAGGGTGAATAAATGATAGCAGGATCTTCATTTTTGACTAAAATATTTCTATAACCAAGATCAATATTCCAAATCATTCCATTCCTCACTTTCTTTTTATGTCACTCTGAACTTGTCATGTCAGTTCGTATGACTTCATTTTCACCAGCTCCCCGTTTCACCAAGTCATCTCACGTCTTTTCGCCATCAAACAGTGGCCTCAACAATAACTGTCACTCATTTCGTTCTGAGGATGTGATGGTGGGTCCTCGGGAGGGCTGCGTGTTCAAAGCATCGATCATGACATGGCGGACATGACTGGTTCTCTTCAGCCACTCGTAGTCATCTAGCTCTGACACAATCTGCTTCACCCACACCTCTATGGGCTCATTAGACTCGTTTTATCTGGTCATTTACATACAAAGCAGACTGAGGGTATGGAATCCGTCGGGTCCGTCTGCCCTAGCTAGATATAAAGAGATACCTCTGGTTCACAAGGGCCAACCGGAGAACAGGTCCATCAGAGAATGCTTCTCAGGAGGCCCAGAACATTAAGGACCTGCTCTGGAGAGCCAGTGAAACACGTTTCTCACTTCCTATTGAATGCCTGCCCTCCGTTCCATAATTTAATACGCAATTCATTATTAAAAAGTGTTTGAGCTTAAGAGGTAGGCTGGCTTACGTGTTTAAGCTTACATGGTAGATTTCAATAGGATTTCAAATGAGATGTTTAACTGAAATATCTACATATTTAAACTAAATATTCAATTGAAATACTTATATTAAACTAATTATGAAGGTAAATAGTAAAATATTTAATAAAAAATGTATATTACGTATATTATATAAAGTATATTAAGAGATATTTTGTTTTTTTTATTTAATATTTATCCACAAATGTAATATGAATTAAATTGTATTGAAATATCTGTATATTTAAACTAAATATTTAATTGAAATATTTATACAAATTAACCCCTGAGAGGTTTTCTCTGAAGGACCTGTTCTCCGTCGGCCCTTGTGAACGCAAAGTGTCTATTTAACTGAAATATCTGTATATATTCGAACAAATTTTATTTGAAATATTTGTATCAAACTTATATCAAACAAATACAATATCACTTTTAATATAAATATGTGAATAAAATGTACTTTAATATTTAATTAGATTTTAATATATATATATATATATATATTGAAACTTAAAACCAGAGTTGTTTTTTCTTTGTTTATTAACCGTAAGTATAAAATATATTTTATTTATTATATATAATATATAATGTATTTGTTACTCTTTGTTGTTGTTTTTTTTACTTGTTACTAAAACTTTTTAAAAAATGTTTTTTTCCATATATATTTTTTTCTTCTCAGTGAAGATCTAGAATAGAATATAGAATAAAGTGACATTCATACATTTTTAAGCATGGCTTAGTTGTCTGAATACTTTTTGAGGCCAGTGTATCTAAGTGTACAGTGTGTCCAGGATTGAGTATTGATTTCATGGTCTATTATTTATTAATGATTTATTGCTGAATCAGAGCTCGGCTTGTGTGGATTGAGAACGGCTGCTCAGTGCAGGAGCGAGTGTTTTTAAGTGTGACATTTGCCTCCTGTCCTCAACCTAGAAGGTCATACCTCTTTCTCTCCAGACAAAGAAGCTCCCCACCATAAAAAACCGACATTAAACACTCAAATCACAGGTCAGCTTTATGACGTTTCGCTGTAAATGAACAAGCTGAGGTGATTATAGCGAGCATCTTTGGATTACAAGTTTGCTGTTCAGAGCGTATGAATGTACGGGGAGCCGTATACCACGGGCTAATTGTTTGTGTCTGTGCCCTGATTGGTTCCCTGAGGTGTTTACTGGCCCACCACGACAAAAGAATAGGCGACTCCTTCATCTTCAGTCAAGCGATACGCTGAGTTTCAGCTCCAAGGGCGCCACCTAATAAAAGAAAAGGGAACTGCAGCTCTTTAAACCTGTTTAATTAGATAAATGTCACCGTGAGGCACTGCTGGAGAAGAGTATGTCACTAGACTGTGGCTAATATATATATATATTGAAACTTAATACCAGAGTTGTTCTGTCATTGTCTGGACCCAGGTATCTTCTGAAGGACCAGTTTTCCAGTTGGTCCTTGTGAACCCAAAGTGTTTCTTTAGATCTAGACTAAACGATCTCTTTAGATAAACTAGACGAAAGTTCATAATTTCTCAGAAAATCTTCAAATACACATACACATTAGCATTGTTATTGTAACAGTGTACACAGGGGTTACTCCGGGCAGTAGCCGCAGATTTGAATCGATGGTGTGCTTGTTCAGTTTTGAGCAAACAGTCGAATGGCTGGCACACGTACACAGCTCAGCCAGCTGTCATTTGCAAGACCACCTGGGAAACATTTCCAACCACCCCCACCACCTGCCTCGCTGTCCCCTTTTGTCCATCAGCCCTCCCCCAGTCATTCTATCATTCAAACTGTCAGCGCTATTGATCATGCAATCCCTCCAGCCTGGCCTTAATACAATCCCTTAAGAACGGCGAACAATAGACAGTCACATGATATTAACTTATATATGTACTTTAAACAGATGTTCTGCAATATCAGTCGGTATGTTTCTCTCGTGATGTAATAGTTTTTATGCTGAGCTCCAGATTTTGCTGGAGGTAAAGATGCCTGAATCCAGAGTGTTGAGCACAAGCCTCAGGGTGATGCTGACTCAGTTGAAGAACCCCTATCTGTGTCTGTGATATTGAATCACCTTGACTTCTGCCTGCCAGCTTTGATATTTGTATGAATGAGGTGAGACGCATCCTGGGGCATTCTGCACGGTCTGGTCGATATGATAGCGCTGCGATAAACCTCTTTCCTTTGTCCTCTGCAAAAATGCTTCAACTTCAACTCAAATAGGAAATCTGTTATCAGTCACTTCATATGTGCAAAGTAACCTGCCGCATATAACATAAGCTATATTAACAACATAGATTCAAATGTAAGGCAATTTTAAAAATTTTGCATTTATAATATTTTAGGTTTGTGATTCAAATATATAATTTATTAGATTAATTAATAAAACAAACAAAAAAAATTTATATTTAATTTAAAAATTAATAACTTGTAAGAAATTTAATATTGAATTTCTTACATTTAGATTTTTGGTTTATCAATGCACATACACATATTTGTTATATATATATATATATATATATATATATATATATATAATTTCTAAAATATAAAAAAGCATTTTTTGTAAATATAAACAGTTTATTTTCTTTTAAAATTATACATATGATTTCTTACATTTATTAATACATATAGATTTTAATTGAAAAGAAATGTGTGTGTGTGTGTGTGTGTGTGTGTGTGTGTGTGTGCCCACCACGACAAAAGAATAGGCGACTCCTTCATCTTCAGTCAAGCGATACGCTGAGTTTCAGCTCCAAGGGCGCCACCTAATAAAAGAAAAGGGAACTTCAGCTCTTTAAACCTGTTTAATTAGATAAATGTCACCGTGAGGCACTGCTGGAGAAGAGTATGTCACTAGACTGTGGCGCTTTAGGATTGAATCTGACTACAACCATTTTTTCATACACCATGCCTGATATGTCTAGAGAAAAAAGCACATTTGAAGCCCATTTTACTTCAGAATTAAGTAAAACGCAATATGAGTATTCAATGAAAAATGTCTAGTGGGAATTGATTGGATCTTTCAAAAAAATAGGAAATTGATTTATTTGTTCATGTATTTATTTACATGATTTTATATAGCATGTATTCTGTGCAGTTCACACAAAAATTTAAAACTCACTCATGTTGTTCCAATTCATCAGGAATTAATTGTATTTTAAAAAGTGGGATCTGTGTGACAAGGCTCGGGTGGATTCATTCATTCATTCACTCATTTAATTTGCAATAAAATTCACAATGCATCACCAGGAAATATGGATGGCCAAAATATCAGTTATTGGCCAGGTATTAAATTATATCAGTTATTAAATTTGTTTTATATGTTTTATCTTATATTAATATTTTTGTTATAAATATAACTTTATTATAAATTATTTTATGTTTTATTTAATTTTATATATATATATATATATATATATATATATAT